TCCTTGTCCTGCTCTGGGGGTGTGGGCGGTGGTGTGTTGAAAAGTCCACCTGTGGGGCTCCCAGCCTCAGCCCTGGTCAGCAGGGCAAGTGTACTACCAGGGGTCACTAGGGACTTGGGGGACTCCAGCTCCCCTGGTGGGAAGGAGGCTGCTGGCTTTTCCCCCTGGCCTGTGTGGAGTGGCATGGAGCACACAGACAAAGAGAGCACATTGGCGGGGGCAGGTACCGACACTGCCAGCACTGAGGGGCTGTTACCACGGGGCAGGGCCACTTCTGCGGCCTTACCACCACGGCGGGAAATGGTGAACTGATTAGGGTCTTTGCCATCCTTCCGAAGCATGTCTGGGAGAAGCCGCCGCCGGGCGTTGATGAACCAGTTACATATCTGGAATGAGTATAAGAGACTGATCAGTTCACTCCATCCAAAACTACTATGAAGTTCTAAGCCCCAGAAACAACATCAAACATAAACAAGGTCCCAGCCCTCACAGTGGGTCACAGAAGAAGGAGAGTATATGAGAAATGACACAAACATAAACAGTGCTGGTGAAGACAATGACGGGGAGATCCAGTCTGGCCTTTGTGGATTTGGGGAAGTATTCCCTGAGGAAGCAGCTCTTCAACTGAGATCTAAAGTTATAAACAACTGATGAGGAGGGAACGGGCAGGGAGGAGTGGCAGGTAGCAGTAGAGTACCTATAAGAAACTCTGAAAGCAGGCCCACTTTGCTGGGCTGAGGATCCATTTCTTTCTCTCTTTTTTTGGATACTAGGGAGTGAACTCTGGGGCGCTTACCTAATGAGCCATATCCCCATTAACATTTCTGTATTTCTTTATTTAGAGACAGGGTTTCACTAAGTTGCTGAGGCTGGCTCTGAACTTGCGATCCTCGTTTCAGCCTCCTGAGCTGTTGGGGTTACAGGTGTGTGCCACAGTGTCCTGCAAGGATCCATTTTTCTTTCCTTTTTTTAGGATCCTTTTCTTGATCAGCAACAAAGCTATAAGGAGTGATTTGCTTTGTGGAAGCAGGGAGATGGGCTGGTAGTTCAGGTTACATTAAGGCATGAGGCAAGAAAAGGAAAAATGTTTGATCTATTTAGGAAACTAGAAGTGGCAGGACCTATGCTGGATGAGTGTAGGTGAGTGAAGGAGAGAGGGGATGATGTGAAGAGTGATCCACTCCTAAATCTGAAGASTGTTGGTGTAGGCTGGAGAAAAGAGCCACAAATTACCAAGGAAGGGTCAGAAGAAAAATTACTGTTTTTGAGCAACATCAGGATTATGAGGCATGAAATTCTYCACTGCACACTGTGGTATGCTACAAAACTCAAGATGCCTGTAGATTCATGTGTCATATGCACACAGAACTAGGGATGGATTTCCAGGAACTTATACAATCTAGGCAAGAAATCAGATCACTACATTGCCCAGACTGCCTTGAACTTGCATTCCTCCTGCCTCAATCTCCTGAGTTACGGGGAACACAGGTGTAGCAGTGCACCCAGCCTCTAAGCTCTTTTGAGAACCAGCTTCACAGTTTCCAGTCTAGTCTTCTCACTGGTTGTCAGTCCCTTTCTAAAATGCAATGGCTCTCATTTCTATTGTAGAAAACTGCCATTTTTGTCTTCCTACTTCCTACAGATCAGTCCAGATTCCAGGAAGACTAAAAGTTCAAGGCCAACCTGAGCAACTGGGCTAGACCCTGTCTCAAAATAATATAAAGGGCTGGGGATGTAACTCATTGGTGCAGTGCCCCAGGGTTCAATCCCCAGTTTTTTTCCCTCTCTCACGCACATACCCCCCCCCCCCACACACACACACACGTGCAGAGGTGGGGATGTATGGTAGGTGATGACTCTAAACCAACAGGGCTGATCCCACTAGCCCAGAACACTATGAGTTTTGTACATTTGTATCATCAAGCTTCTTTCTTGGCCCATTATTTGGGGTAAGCCCTTGGGTCCCATTTTCCCCTTGACTCTGCCTCTGTCCAAAGGAATAGCCACCTGTGAGAGGAACTGTTGCCTGCCATAGCTCTCTACCTAGCTGGTTGCAGCAGTACCCATCCCACAGGTGACCCAAAGATAGCACTGTGTCCCTGTGAGGGCAGAGTCAGGAACTTCTACGGCCCCTCTTTCCACATCCATTTCAGCTTGAAAGGACCTCAACCCTGAAGTTCATTCATCCCACTTCACTTCTGTGGTCTTCCTAGTGAAACTGAGCAGGCATCAGTAGCAGACACTAACCAGTGCTGGCAGAACTGAATCCTGAGTTGAAGTACAGGGAAGCCCCAAAGAAGAGATTGGGCTGAATTGCTGAGGAGGCAGAAAGAAGGAAGAAAACTTATTACACACCTTTGATATCACCAGCCAGCCATCTAATTTGCATTACGTTTAATCTGCATACAAGCCTGGGAGATAGTGGGCAGTGTCCCCAAAGTATTATAGAGGGAATCAGAAGCTCAAAAAGATGAAAGAGGGGCTGGGGTTGTGACTCAGTGGCAGAGCACTTGCCTAGCATGTGTGAGACACTAGGTTCCAGGCCTCAGCACCACATAAATAAAATAAAGGTATTTGGTCCATCTACAACTAAAAATTAAAAAAAAAAAAAAAAAAAAGGATGAAAGAACTTACAAGGCTCAGTTATTCAGCCTATAATCCCAGTTACTTGGGAGGCTGAGGTAAGATGATACCAAGTTTGAGCTCAGCCTCAGCAATTTAGTGAGACCTTGTCTCAAAACAAAAAAACAAATAAGGTTTGGTGGGACTGGAAGCACAGCTCAGTGGTAGAGCATTTGTAAGGCCCTGGGTTCAATCCTCAGTACCACCAAAAACAAAAAGTCTGGGGACATGGCTCAGCAGTAGAGCACCTCTGGGCCCAATCCCCAGTATTGGAGGCTGGGGGTTGTTGAGATGAAAGAACTTGCCCAGAGTCACGCAGCCTCTGAGTATAGAGCTAGTATAGCTAAACAATTATGACTACAATCCTAATAGCAACACCTGAACACAAAACATCAGGTGCTATTCTGAATATCTGACACCTAGTTATTTAATCTTCAACAGCCTCAGATGGGTCTGTGATGATCTGTTAGAGAAACAAGAGGCCTTGGTCAGGGAGGTTCAGTAATTCCTCAAGATCACAGTACAAAGGCTGCAATCTGACCAATAGTGAGTTCCAGGCACCCTTGTTAGCCAGCCTAGGGGCATCAGCAGGAGACCCTTTCTTTCCCCTGGCTCAGGAGCAGCGCCTTTCAGCTATCTTCCTTCCATTTCTCCTTCCTCCCTCCCTCCCTCCCAAGGCAGCTTCCTGGGCTACCTATGTTATAGGAGGGCACTGCACCTGTCCACCCCAGCCTTAGATGCAGGCAATCAGTCAGGTCACAGTGACCTGGGCCAGGCAAAGTCAGGACAAGTCTAGCCTTGAAGCTGTTTCAGGGAGGGGTGCCCACTAGCAGCTGTGTGGACACCTAGCCCCTAGCTGCACTTCCCATTTTGGCTTATGATTCACAGAAGAGAACAACAGGAAAACGGCCCCTGTACCCATTCCCCTGAGTGCTCACCCAGGTCCACAGAAGACTTGGCAGCCTACTGTCTGTCGTGTCTCCTCGTCCTATAGAAATCCCACAGCTGAGGGCGGCCGGCAAGGCAGGAGGCTGAGGAAGCCTAGCCCCTTCAGCTGCCCACCCATGCCTAAGTCAGGAAAAGAGCACGTGACTCGCCCTCAATCAAGGTCCTCCAGAGGCGATGGGAAGGAAGCCAAAGTGAATCCTGTGATTTGTGTCGCAGCACACAGGCTGCGTCCCTCAGAGCCTGGCTGTCATCAAAGGGCTCCATGGAAAAGCTGCTGCCTTGTCAAGGTTTTTTTTTTTYCCTTAATCAGTGGCTGAGGTGGGAAGAAATCACTGGAAGAGTAGAGGGGCTCCAGGAAGCTGGCGCAGGCCCTGAGGATGGGAAAAGCGGGTCTGAGGAAGTGGGCAGAAAGCTTTCATTCCATGTGCCCCCTCAGCTGTGAGAGAGCAAAGGGAAGAAGTGAAGGTGTGCTGAGGCCTTTCCCACACCTCGCAGCACCATCTGCCCAGCAGCCAGCAGTCCCAGGTGTTCTAAAAAGCAGCTGGCTGTATTACAATCACCTTGAAAGTGATTGAAAAAAATTTTTTTACAGAGCTATTTCCTATCTGCTTCATAGATCAGGTGGGGGTGGAGTCAGGATTTCCAAACAAGTGAGCAGGAGAGTTTGCTGATTGGGCTTGGGATGACCCGGCTGGTGTAACTTGTCCTTGTGGGCAGAGCCTTTTTTTTAAGCAAAAACATAAGCTCAAAAAACAAAGATGGAGCGCCTCAGGAGGCTGAGGCAGGAGAACCAGGAGCTCAGAGCCAGCCTCAGGAAAAGCGAGGCTCTAACAACTCAGTGAGACCCTGTCTCTAAATAAAATACAAAATAGGGCTGGGGTTGTGGCTTGGCTGTAGATCGCTTGCCTCGAATGTGTGAGACCCTGGGTTGGATCCTCAGCATCACATAAAAATAAATAAACAAAAGATATTGTGTCCATGTATAACTAAAAATAATAATARTAATAATAATAATACAAAATAGAGTTGGGGATGTGGCCTAGAGGATGTGGCCCCTGAGTTCAATCCCTGGTACCTCCCCCCACCCCACCCCCCAAAAACAACCCCAGAGATGATATGTGGGGATACAGCGTGTCTGTGGGAGGACTGAAAGGCAGCTAGCTTTAGAGCCAGGGAGAAAGGGAGCACCTGAAGATAGTCACTGGCTGCCAAGAGGCCTGACTGTCCCTTCCTCCCACCACCACCACCACCACCACAGAGTCACCACAACCTCTGCACTAGGCTCCTTTCTCACTCTAGGTTCCTGAGCCATGAGGGTTCAGGAAAAGCTCCTCTCAGGAGGGGGCAGAGAGGTGCTGGTTCTGTTTCCAGCACAGAGCACTGGACCTGACTCAGTACAGCCCAGTTAATGTTGGAGGGAAGGCAGGTGGCACAGAACCCTCCCAGACAGCCCCAGACTAGAAACCATAGAGGACTAGAAACCACAGAGGAGTCCAACKTTAAACTAGGAATAGAGGGTGTCACCGGGACCAGTGAATAGCCTTCACAAGAGACTTTTTTTTTTTTTTTTGGTCTTGCTCTCCCAACTGCCTTGCTCAGGGCAAGTCCTGGCAAAGCAGTCAGTTAAATGACTCATTGACTTGCTAATGAGATTGCTCCCWGGGCCCTTTAAAGGAGACTTTCAAAAGAGATGCCCCAAGGAAAGAAAACAAGCTTAGCCAAATGTGAATACCTGTTGAAATCTGTGGTATTTGGAGTTCAYTGCAATATTCTTACCTTTCTGGATATTTGAAAATGTTAACGATAAAATTTTAAAATGTAAATATACAGGGGTCGAGCTCAGTGGCACACACCTGTAATCCCAAGGACTCAGAAGGCTGCTGAAGGAGGATTATAAATTCAAGGCGAGCCTCAGCAACTTGTGGAGACCCTGTCTCAAAACATAAAAAAATAGGGGCTGGAGTTGTGGCTCAGTGGTAGTGGGTTTGCCCCACCTGTGTGAGGCACTGGGCTCAATTTTCAGCACCACATATAARTAAACGAGTAAAATAAAGGTTCATTCCAGCAGCTTGGGAGGCTGAGCCAGGAAAAAAAAAAAGCCAGCCTCAGCAACTTAGGGAGGCCCTAAACAACTCAGCAAGACCCTGTCTTTAAAATAAAATGCCAAAAAAGGGCTAGAGATGTGGGCAGTGGTTAAGTGCCCCTGGGTTCAATCCCAGGTACCAAAAACCAAACAAAGTTATTTTCATAAAAGGGTATAGGATGTAGCTAAGTGGTAGAGTGCTTGCATTACATGCATATGCTTAAGGCCCGGTTCAAGCCCCAGTGGGGAAGGGGAAGGGATGGCAGTGAAGAAATGGGCAAGGACACAAAGATGCCTCCAGGAATTTAAGCCAATTTTTCCTGACTCAGGAGCCTGTTTCCTTAATTCTGACATTTCCAATGCTTTATCATTATTTTCTGTCATTTTAACAGTTTAATACCAGGCATTGAGCTAAATACTAGGACTATAACAAAAAATGAAAGGAGGTCTCTTTCCTCCACACCTCCAGAATTTGGTGCCATCTAAAACTTAGCCAGTCAAGTGTCAATGTTAGGTCCCAGTCCAGTTGCTGCGGGAACACACAGCTTMCTGAGGGGTAGGGAGTCCCTTTTTCTGAGGGGGACAGCAGTTTGGGGTGGAGATCAGTASGTACAGCAGGAATGTGGGGGAGCAGATAAGTGCATAGTTGGGCTGATCTGAGATTCATGATAGCGTCCCTCAAGGAGTGCCACATGGTGCCCACTGTTTCCTAACTCTAGCATGACTGGCGCACAGTGGCCACCACTGGAATCCAATGGCTGATCCTTGCCTTGGACTTGTCCAAGTGGACCTGTTGTCCTAAGGGACCCATTAGTTCTCAAGGAGGATGTCTTGGCTTCATGTTTCCACTGTGGTCATGGGTAGGAGTGGCCACTAGGACTCACTCCAGAGTCAGAGCCTTTGTACCACTATATACTAGGACAGTCAGCAAAATACCATGGCCACTTTAATACAGTTAGAAGGAATTTCCCTGTTTTTATATTTATCTACTTTGAAAAATTATTTGGTTTTATACTTGCGTATAGAAGCAAAAAGCAAAAGTTTTTGTTTTTTTTTAACCTTGTTTAATATTTGTACATACTTAAGTGAAATGATTCAGGAGCCTGTTTTCTTAATTCTGAAATCTCCAATGCTTTATCATTATTTTCTGTCAGTAGTGCGCTTACCTAGCACATGTGGGGCCCTGGGTTCAATCCTCAGTACAACACAAAAATAAATAAATAAAATAAAGGTATCGACAACTACAACTAAAAAATAAATACTTAAAAAAAAAAAAAAGGATTCAGATTACTATCTTGGGGAGACAGGTCCATGAATTTTTTTTCTTCCTGAAGAATTGGTACATGTATCAGATTTGAGAAAGTGTCCCTGACAAAAAGTAATTCCAATACAGTGACAAGTGGTTTGACAGAACAGGTATGGGAATACACAGCAGTGTCCCAAAACCCCAGCTGTGGGCCACAGAGTGTCTATACGAGAAAGAGGGGCTTGAATGGAGTGGGCCAGGTAGGAAAACTCAGGGCTGTGCCCAGCTACTCCCAGCCAAGGGAGAAAGCCTAGAGGCCTGAGGGTCAAGGGCCAGGAGGAGCCTGGACCCACCCCAGGTAGGTGGGTTCAGGGCAACATCAGATTTGTGCTTTAATATTCTAAAGAATGGACTGAAGTAGAAGGCTGAAGACAGTGATCCTGGCTTTTGGGCTCTAGACCTTTTGCCTGTGCTGTTCTACATTCTGTAAGTTCAAKGCCACCTCTTCTGGGAGCTTTGGGTCTATTTGAAGCTCCAGCCCTGGAGTTTCTGCTACCCTTGTCCCAGCAGAGATCACTTTGCAACATCAGTGGCCAAGCCTATCTCCTACCTGACCCCACACTTGATAGTCTTTAGGGTGTCCCTGAGGCATGGAGCTGAGTACAATGGGGGAGCTCAGGAGGACCCTGAAACGCTTTGTGTTACTAGGCACCCAGGGTCATCCAAGACTTTCTGCACTAGGGGAGAAATGAGGATGAAGTCAGGAGCAAAAGCACCCACTGGATACCAACCACGGCATAGTCAGCCTTGAATTCTTCTCAGTCCCTCCTCTCTATACCCTAGAAAAATATTACAACCACCTCCCTTTGTCCAGATCAGAAAATAATGAGGCTCAGAGAGATGGCAGTGACTTGGCCAGGGTCCAGGCTTCCTCATGTGGAGAGGATGGAATCTGAGTCAGGATCTGTAACTCTAGATCCCTTCTTGAAGACAGACTAGGATTAACCGCTGCCCATGAGCTGATTCTTACTGAGACTCCTCTTGGTGGGGATAAGAGCTGGGAAGCCAGGGAGAAAGCAGGAGGATCAGAATGGAGTGAAAGGGAGGGAGGCAGCACTGTGGAGGGGAGTAAACTGCAGTGATCTGGCAGGGGCAGAGGGCCCAGGGGAACTGGGGGAGGGGCCCAGCACGTTCCTRAAGGAAGAGGTGGGGGCCAGCAGTGACCTGCCAGGCTTAGGGCCTACTATAAGTCCCCCAGGGAGGTGAAAGTCAAATTGGACACAGACAATGGTGGTCTAGGGTATCCTGCCTTAGCACTTGAAAACAGTAAAAGCTGGGTGCAGTGGCTCACACCTGTAATCCCAGCAATTTGGGAGGCCAAGGCAGTTCCAAAGCCTCAGCAACTTAGTGAGGACCTGAGCAACTTGGCAAGACCCTGTCTCAAAAATAAAAAATCAAAAGGGCTGGGATGTAGCTCAGTGGTGAAGCACCCTTGCATTTGTTTTGCAGTTAATGATGACACCTGGGCACTAACAACCAAAAAGAAAATAGCAAAGACACCTAGACAACAGCAACAGAACAATTTAAAGGTGATGTTACTTTGCACTCCAAAAAAAAATTTTTTTTCCAGTGCTAAGAATGGAAGCCAGGCCAAGTGCTCCASTGAACTACATCCTAGCCTCCTGACAACTATCTTTTGAGTGTGTGCCTGTGCAGCTTTTGTTTTGTTTTGTTTTATGGAGATGATTAAGCCCAGGGGCACTTAATCACTGAGCCACATCCCCAGCCCATCTTAATATTTATTTAGAGACAAGGTCTCCCTGAATTGCTTAGGGTCTCCCTAAATCGCTGAGGCTGGCTTTGAACTYGCAATCCTCCTGCCTCTGCCTCCCAGCCACTGGGATTATAGGCGTGTGCCACCATGCCTACCTTCCTGTACAGTTTTCAGAGCACTTTCACATCCCGTTCTGAGTCTATTCCTCATAACAGTTCCATCAGGTAGAGGAATCTAACCCTCCCTCACTTTACAGATGGATAAAGCAAGACAAAGCGCACAGTCCTATGGTAGAATTGGGTTTTGGACCCGGAACCTCTGACTTCTTCCAACTCATTTCTTAACTACATTGCAGAACCCCAGCTGCCCCACAACCAAGACCCCAACCCAACAGTGTTATTAATGATGACACCTGGACACCAACAACAATTGCTTGCCTCTTCAGAACTTTTCAGAGTCTGAAATCTAGCTGCAATGACCTTACTTCACTGTCTTCCCTTTAAGCAGGGAGAGTGAGTGTTCTCACCTGACCCAAGAAACTGAGGTACAAAGCCACACTGTAAATCAGTGACAGGGCTGGCTCAGGTCTAAAACTTACCTGCAGCACTGAGAGGTTGGTCTGTCCAGAAAGGCTCAGCTTCTCCTGCTCTGAGGGGTAGGCGTTGTAGCGGTGCAAATACAGCCAGTCCCGGAGGATCTTCACGGACTCCTTGGGTAGGTTCCCCCTGCGCTTCCTCTTGCCCGCCAGGGAGAGGAGGCCTTCATCTTCACCCAGATCACTGTCTGACATGGTGCCTAGGAGCTAGGCTGGATCTTAGGTGAGCCTGGGACAAGTGGCATAGGGGACATCATTACTGTGCACTTACCGCCACTTACCCTGTTTCTTAATTTGCTCACTACTACTACAGCCTGAGATTCCAGAAACTGAGGAGTCTCCAAAGTCTCTGGCTACACCCTAGCTGGAGAAACTAGAAGGATGAGTCCAAAATGCCACCATTTCGTGGATCCAGATAGGTGACTACTAAATGAGCCGCATCTGGGCATGGTGGTGCACACCTGTAATCCCAACTACTCAGGAAGCTGAGGCGGGAGGAGTGCAAGTTTCGGCCAGCCTGGGCAACTTGGTAAGAACCTGTCTCAAAATTAAAAATAAAAAGGGCTGGAGATGAGGCTCAGAGGTTAAACCCCTCTGGGTTCATCCCTGGTATCAAATAAACTAAAATGAATGGCAACTCAAGTAGGAAGACAAGAAATCATTATGGCTATGATTGAAATCTATTGTACCCAGCATTTTATATTACTTCATTTAATTCTCACAAACCTCTCTGAGGGAGAAACTATTCATATTGTTTTATAGATGAGGAAACAAAGAAAATAATAAGAATGCAACCCGGGTCCACACAAAACYTCATACACAAATGTTCACAGCAACCTTATTCACAGTAGCCAAAAGGTGTTAACAACCAAGTGGCTATCAACAGATGGATGATTTGTGATTTACTTACACAATGAATATTATCTGCCCCCAAAAAGAAGTTCTCATATTTTCTATAACATGGACGGACCTTGAAAACATGCTAAGTAAATCCTCAAAGAGGCTAGCCACACAAGAACACATATGGTATGTTTACAATGGAATGTCCAGGATAGGAGGCTCTATAGTGACAGAAGGGAGATTGGGCAGTTAGGGCTGGGGAGGATAAGAGTGGTAGCTACAGTGAATGGAGTTTCTTTCTGAGAGGATAAAAATATCCTAAAATTGACTGGTAGTGATCGCTGCACATGGTTGTAAAAATACTAAAAACCACTGATTTATATACTTTAAATTAGTAAATTGTGTAGTATGCAAGTTATATCCCAATAAAAAGTTACTTTAAAAATCCCATCTGCAGGAGTTATTCAAGTAGGATTTGGGCTCAGGTAACCTGCTTCTCCCATCCCTTTGTGATCTCTGCATTATCTTGCCTCCCAGGTCTCCCAAGGCCAGTGAGGTGTCTGGAAACTATAATCACATGGTCCTGCAACAAACCATGTAATATTTATTAAGCATCTACTGTGTACCGTGCCAACAGTAGTGAATCATCCCTACTGGTTGTTTCTTAGATACTCTCCTTGTTTAGGCCTCAGCCTGGTCCCAGGCAAGGCTCTATCTGGTCCCTGCCCTACCCCCATTTGGCTGTGTGACCCTGGGTAAGYATCCTTTCCTCTCCTGGCTTGAAGTTCCCCCTCCTTCACCTGTCAAACAGAGGAAGATTTTTTTCCCCCTAGATAACCCAATTCAGCTGCTCATTCCCCCCCTAAAGTTCTTGTTCACACAAGCAAAAGAAATTTACATTTTAAAAGCAAAAGTTCTAGGCCAAGCCTGATGCCAGAATCTCAAGGCTCCTCCCTTCTCAGCCTTTTAACAGCTCTCCAGCAGGCTGGGCCAACAGACTCTGGCATCTCCCAGGTTTTGTTTCCTCGACTTGGGTCTGAGCCCAGATCTCTGGGCCGGCGAAGCCAGGCTTTCGAGGGAAGGGTCTACCCTCAGCCAGGCCACCTGGAGGTGAGACAGGCACTGCTTAGACGTGCCACTCCTCAGAAAGCACCACTGCTGTCTGCTTTCTGAGGTCAGACATTTCTAGCTGCCAGGGCAGCTGGGATCTGGGCTCAGGGATGCAGCCCTGGCAAGCAGTGAGAAGTTTACTCAAGGTTATCTGTACAAATTCCACCCTGGCTGCCAGCCAGAACCCAATCTGCAGGGTTCCAGAGGTAGGCCCCGGGGATGACCCCTTAGTCTGCACAAACCTTTCCATTTCGGTGCCCTGCTTCCCAGGCAGGCCTACAGTCCTGCAGGTTTCCCACATACTTTATCTCACAGTTACACATCTTGCCCACCCCACAGACAACTCCGATAGCGATCACGTAACCGGCACAGCCCACTGCTGAACTCCTACAAGCCCCATGATTTTCAGACACACATTGCACGCACACAGCTTACAAACCCCAAGCCTAGCACCAAAGACTGTGACCCATTCAACTAGCCCAACTCCTGCATCCGCCCACCCACGAACTCCAACCGACCCGCCCACCCACGATGTCCCCAAAGGGGAAAAACTCTGGACGTCATCACATCAGCGGTCAGCTCAGAGCCCCTCCGACACAACACCCAGTGCACCCTCCTACATGCTCCCACGACGCCACCTGCAGCCACTCCCGCAGGAACTTTCTGACAACTCCCCCAGCTCGGCCGACACTCCCCCGGGTCGCGCACCGGGGCTCACATTCCCAGCAGTTCACACAAAGCGCGAAACCTCCCCCGCCGCCCAGACAGAGCAGAGCACATGGCTCCCGGGGCGGCTAGGAGTCGGCCGGCGCTCGGGGCGCCCGCACCCCCGGCCCCCCACCCCAGGTCAAAATGCGCGCAACAGCTCCTTCGTGGGCCTGCAAACCCGGAGGGGCTAGGGCTCTGGGAAAAAAGAAAACTCACGTGTCTGAACCGGGGCAGGAAAAGTTTGGTTCCCACCCCCTTCCCCGGCAGCTCCGAGCTGGCTGCCTCTTCGGGGCGCGGGGCCGGCGGAGCGTGCGCGCTCGGCTTTGTGCTCCGAACTCGGCCCGGAGGGGGAGGGGAGAGGAGGGGGCTGGGCTCCCACCTCCGCACCGCCCCCCCAGTCCTGCGCCCAGACTCCATGTTGTTCGCCCCCAGCCCCAGGGACCGCGCGCCTCCCCGGCGTGAGGCTCGGCTCCCCGTCGCCTGCCCAAGGTCCCGGCGCGCACAAACTTTCTCCCGGTCGCCGGCCCCACGCGCCCGGCTGCCTTGGCCCGCCCGGGAGTGACAGATGCCTCGGAGACAGACTTTCCTTTGTTCCAAAGGAAAGGGGAACTCGCGCGGGCTCCCCACCCTCCCCTCTCGGGGCCCTTCCCACTGCCCCCACCCCCAGCTGTCACTCTCAGCCGCCCCCTCCCCGGCTCGGCCGCGGGGGGGGCCCTGCCGGCGGTTAGCAACGTGCACTTTTGAAACCAAACAAACCCGCCCCCCGCGCGCTCACCCCAGTCCGGGGCACTGGCGGCCCGCTCCCAGAGTGGGATCCTAGGGAGCTGGGCCCCCCAAAAGGGCCCGAGCGAACTTCCTCCCGGGGGCTGACGAGGCTCCCGCCAGCACTCCGCAGTCGGGACTCACAAACACACCCAAGCTCACACACCCACAATCGCACGCGCCAGGATGACGCCCCCTCCCCCGCCCGGCAGCGAAAAAGAAACTTTCCAAGTTGTCCGCGCGCCCCCACCCCCATCTCCGCCCCTCCTGCGTCCCGCACTGACTTTTCCCGGCGGCTTTCGGGCCCACGCGGCCTCGGGCAGGGTGCGGGGCGTCCCGGCCGGGGCGGGGGGCGCCGGGGGCGCGCGCCGCGTACCTGCCGGGCCTGACACCCGCCTGACAGCTCGCGGCTGGAAAGCACCTCGCGGCCTGACGTCAGATCCCCTCTCCTCCCCTCAGCGCGCGCCTCGCCCTCCCCCACCGCCCGGAGGCAGCAAACAAACTTTGCGCCGAGCGCGACCAACTACGCCCACCCCCCCGCGGGGCGGGCCCGCAGCCCGGGGGGCTCCGCCCCGCCCACCGCGCCGGAGGGGGCGGGCCCGGAGGGCACCTTCTTCCTGCGCCCACCCACCTCAGGAATGCCACATGGCCTCGGGAGGGAAGCGGTGGGACCTGGGCTCCCGCAGCCCGCTTAGGGGCAGGAAGTGGCCCGCTCCTCCTTTCGGAGAGCATTTCCGGAGCGCCTACTGTGTGCTCTTGGCCGGGGGTGGGGCCTTACAAAGGGAGAACTTATGCCAGTCCCGACGATTGCGTGTGGGCCCCGCACCAGAACTCGGGTCCGCCCCGGGATGGTTCACATTGCTTGGAGGAGAAACTGAGGCCAGTTAGTCCCAGACTTACCCCCAGTTGGTAAGGTGCCCGGCTCAAAATGCGATTCCTGTTCTTTCCTTAAGGGCCCACAGACTCTGGAATAAGGCTGCCTGGGAACTACTCCAAGCAGGTAACCCAGGCCTAGCATTCAAGGGCGGTCAGCCAGGCTGTGCGCGCACTTCTAGGTATCATTGGAGGTACATCAGGTTGTGGGATAGGTGCTGCCTTACATGTGAGCTGCAGAGAGGGTCAGCGTTTGCTTTTGTCACAGTTAAACAGTATCATTCAGCCAGGTGGGTCAGACAGCAAAGCCAGAGCCACCCACCGGTTGGGCTGGTCCTTGACMGGTTCTGAGGGGCCGGCTGGGAGCTTGCGGGCCTTGGCTGGTTCCTCTTTCCTCTGTGGTTACACACTGCTTCAGGAGCTTTTTCTTGACTTCCCACCATCCCGCCAGCGCTCCTGGTCTCTGCAGTGTGCACACACCGGAAAGTATCTGCTGATCCTCACCTAATTCGAACCAGGAAGACCCTCTTCTGGGCTACTCTTTCTTCATCTAGACCCAGATATGTGGGGCCCTTGAGATTAGAAAGCAACTGCTTTGAAAATAGCTTTTTGTAATTTTTTTCTTTAATGCTTTCTCTTATTTATTGTTTTGTTATTGCTGAGATAGGTGCTCCCTATGTGAATGCAGGCAGGCACCAGTAACTGGTATGTATGTATGTATTGGTACTGGGGATTGAAACCAGGGGCACTGTACCACTGAGCTACACCCCCAGCCAGCCCTTTTTATTTTTTGTTTCAAGACAGGTTTTTGCTAAGGCTCCTAAGTTGCTAAGGCTGTCTTCAAATTTATGATCCTCCTACTTCAGCCACCTGCACAGGGTCGGGGCAGGAATTACAGTAAAACCACAAAGTGACCAGGTCAACTCAGTTTTTTGTTTGGTTTTTGGTACCAGGGATTGAACCCAGGGGCACTTGACCACTGAGCCACATCCCCAGCCCCCTTTTATACTGTATTTAGAGACAGAGTCTCTTTTTTGTTGTTGTTTGGTACCAGGGATTGAACTCGGGGGCACTTGACTACTGAGCCTCATCCCCAGCCCTATTTTGTATTTTATTTAGAGACAGAGTCTTGCTAAGTTGCTAAGGGCCTTGATAAGTTGCTGAGGCTGGCTTTGAATTTGTGATCCTCCTGCCTCAGCCTCCCAAGCTGCGGGATTACCGGCGTGTTCGACCATACTTGGCTTCAGTTTTGGGTCTTAATTACACTTTAGCAGTGGAGAACTCTGGGAACAAAAGTTGAAATTTTTTTTTCCCCCAAATAAGTCCTAAGTCAATAGGGTCACTGATTCAATGACTCTTAAGGTTCATATGGACTCCAAAGACACCAGATTTCCTGCAAATGCATAGAACTAAGTTGGCCAGCTGCCTTCTGTCCAAAATGTCAGTGACACTGCCCTGTTTTCTCCACTACACAGATGGAGAAAGTGAGGCCCAGTGTGGTGGCCACACACAATTTCTAGGCCAAGTTTGATCTGCAGCCCTCTGAGAAAAAAAGGGAGGCTTGGGCAGTCTTAGGTAAGAAAGGTCAAATCAGTTGAGTCCTAACCTAGGGTTGCAGAGGATGCATGGGGCAAGGATCTTTAGGAGGTGGGGAATCTGGAGGGAAAATAAAGGTCTAACCAGGTGAGCTTCCTAAGTCTGTGSATGAAGACAGTGACTTCTCCCCACAACCTTTTTTTTTTGGTGTGTGTGTGTGTGGTGCTGGGGATTGACTCAGGGCCTTGTGCATATAAGGCAAGCACTCTACCAACAGAGCTGTGTCCCCAGCCCTCTCTCCTACCCCTTTGCCTGCAGCTGACAAAGCCAGTCTGGAGCCCCTTCCTAGACCTGGGGGGGAAGGAGGGAAGGGAAAGAGGGAGGCTGGTTGTGTATCGGGACTTCACAGAAACAAATTCCCTGCCAAAACAGTAAGTTTTTAGAAGTTGTAAGCTAATTTAGTTTTTTTTTTTTTTTCCTTTTTTGTGGTTCTGGGGATCAAACCCAGGGTCTTATGCTAGGCAGGTACTGGACCACTGAGCTACATCCCCAGCCCTGCTTTGGACATAGTTGATGAGGAACTATCATGGGAAAACTTTTTCCAACTGTTAAAGTTGTTTTTGGAGACAGGTGTCCCACTAGATGGCCTAGGCTGGCCTCAAACTCCTGAGCTCAAGTGATCTGCCTCAGTATCCTGAGTGGCACAACATGTGTGTGCCACTGTGCCTGGCTCTGTCATCCTGTTTTGCCACACATTCTCTTTATTAAAAAATAAATAAAATAAAATTACTGTAGTGGGCTGGGGGTTTAGTTCAGTGGTAGAACCTTYGTTAGCATGCATGTGGTCTTAGGTTTGATCCCCAGCAATATACACACGCRCACACGCGCACACACACACTACTGTGGCAAGAAACCTCTCCTCCTTTTTTCCCCACACATGAAGAAACTGTCCCTGAGAGAAGAGACTTGCCTCATGATGAGTGTGGGACCCAGTACTCCGGGAAAGATCTGGGCTGAGATAGGAGAGATGGGAGTGGTGTCGAAGCCCAATCTGATCTGGCTCTCCAGATCATAAGTCAGTTTCTTGCCTGAATACCAGAAAATCCCAGATCTCAGAGACTCTTGGATGTGGGACTTTGTGTGCCAGTTTCTGGCATTGGTAGTTACACAGATGCAAATGAATTCATATGAATTCACTTTCATTTAAAAAAAAATAGGGACTAGGGATGTGGCTCATTGGTAGAGCACTTGCCTAGCATGTGCAGGGCCCTGGATCCAATCCCTAGCACTATAAGAACAACAAAAACACTAGCTGCTGCCCTTTTTTGGAAGTGGGAACCACCAGGACCAGCATTCACTGACAGCCACGACTAGGCTTCAGCCTATAGAAGTTGGGGCTCTCTGGGGTATAAGAAATAAGAAATGYGTGTAGCAAAGTCCAGTGCAAATGAGTGATTAAGTAGATAGCTTGGTTGGCCGGCCAGGTGGTAGGACCTTGAAAGTGGGGGACTTGGCAGCATGAGCAGCAGGGCATCCTGGGCAAGTTCCTGGGATGGCTACTGAGGAGAGTTGGGAAGAGGCTGGAGGCGCGTGGCCAGATAGGTCAGCTCTGGGTAATGAGGCTGGAGCTGCTAGAGACCTCCCTGGAGACGGGGGTTTGTAGCTGTCATGTGTGGATTTCCACTTATCAACATCTTTCTTCTTAAAAGTCTCCTGTTGCTAAACACAATAGTGCATGCCTAGAATCCCAGCTACTGGGGAAGCTGAGGCAGGAAGATCGTAAATTCTAGCCAGCCTTGGCAATGAAGTGGGACCCTATCTCAAAAATAAAAGGGCTGGAGGTGTGGTGAACAGGTGTAGGGGAAAAAAGTCTCATCTTGTTGGTCAATCACAATTGACTGAACTTTTTCTTAGTTATTGGGCATTTACTAACTTAAAAATTTTTCTTTTGTGGTACTGGGGCTCAAACCCAGAGCCTTGCTGTTAACGACCCTTGCTAAATTGCTGAGGCTGACTTTGAATTTGCAATCCTCCTGCCTTAGCTTCCAAAGTTTCTGGGATTACATACATGGGCCATCTTGGCATTGAAGTGGGACCATATCTCAAAATAAAATTTTGGCCATCATACCCAGTTGAGGTTTAGGTGTCTTTTTTTTTTTTTAATATTTTTTTTTAGTTGTAGTTGGACACAATACCTTTATTTCACTTATTTATTTTTAAGTGATGCTGAGGATCAAACCCAAGGTCTTACACTTGCAAGGCAAGTGCTCTACCGCTGAGCCACAACCCCAGACCAGTTTAGGTGTCTTTGAAAGGTTCTATGTATAGACTTGAGAGTCTGTAAATATAGGTATATGTGGATGTATTTACACACATACACATAGGTGTGCCTGTTTACTCACAGTGTAGGCAACACTGGGGTTTATCTTTCCTTCTCCCTATTTTAACCTTTGTCAGTTTAACTCATCAGGAGTATTACTAAAACTGTGTATGTCTGACATGGATTTTTAAAAATTAATTTAAATTAATTTATTTTTGGGATTGAAATCAAGGGTGCTGTATCAATGAGCTACATCCCAGACTTTTTAAAAATTTTAATTTTGAGGCAGGGTCTCACTAAGTTTCCCACATTAACCTTGAATTTGTGATCCTCCTGTCTCAGCCTCCTGAGCAGCTGGGATTACAGAYGCGCCACCACGTCCAGTTTAGGAGCAGTATCCTTACTTCTTTAGAGGACAACACACTGATTTTGGCGAGGGAAGGAACACTTTGAATTTCTGTAGTGGACATAAATTCTCCCGCAGGAAGCAATGAAGCTTGCACTTTAACGACCCCTCTTTCTCTTCCAAGGCCCTGGGAGTTGTTATATATTTTTATAAAATTTATAAAGTTAAGAAATTTTAGCAGGTGTGGTGGTGCGTGCCTGTAATTTCAGCAGCTCCAGAGCCAAGGCGGGAGGATCGCAAGTTTAAAGCAGCTTCAGCAACTTAACAAGGCCTCAGCAATTTAACA